AGCCCAGCTGATGTGCGTGATGTGTGAAGCAGCGGCTTAGTGCTGAAAGAACTGCTGCCAACTAGTTTCAGCAGCAGCAGCAGCAGTGCTGATGCCGATGCCGATGCCGACGCCGATGCCGATGCCGATGCTGATGCCGGAGACGTCCGTCCGTGACTGCAGTAGAAGGCGGCAGTGGCCCGTCCGGCCAAGCACGACTAAGCCGTTCGCAGGGGCCTTTTTTCTACCCATGGACCGGTCGATCGGACCTGTCATATACAACCGCCCCTAGCCGTTTGAGCAACGTCTTGATCATCGGTCCTACTGTTACCACAAAGCTGGCCAGTACCTGGGTGTCCGAATTTCCAGGTTCCGTGGAGCACTGGCTTTCGTAATCCTCAATCATGAGCCAGGGGATATGCATTCTGTTTCTACCTGTTCGTGATGCTCATCACGGTGTCAGTTAGCTTGGCGTATGGCATTCGTCAACAAAAACTGTAACGATTGAGAAGTGACGGAAATCACGGCATAAGCGAGAAAGAACTGACAATTTTCAGTAGTATGCATGCACCAAATCTCGTTATCTGGCTCTTGAGAGCAATGGTCCGATGGTTTCTTAAGGTTCATTCCTTTTGCCCTTCCCTTCCATTTCTTTCAGCATAGAAAGATGTGGGTGGACAATGGTTAAAAATGATAGAAAAACAAACAGTAGTCCGCGATGTCATTACTAAAGTGAAGAAGTTTAAACAGTGGTAATATGGGCAGGGCACGTTTAGAAAAGAACTCAAAAGTTAGAATGACTCCAAAGGAGAGCAATCAACCCGTAAGAAGACCCTCAGATAGAGCCAGTCTGACCTGAAGGAGTTCGCTGGATCAGGATTGATGAAAATGGCAGAAAACAGAATTTTGTTCAGCAGTGGACCGCAAAGCCTCATGATAATGATCCTTTCGTCTGTGTGATCTGATCATAGCTAGAGATTCTGGTCATAATGTCCACACTTATCAAAGGTCGTTTGCCAGAACAAAGCGTTTGTTTGCCTTTTGCCCCGGGAAATTCGGTGCTCTGTGAGGTTTTGTCCTCTCAGAGTTTTTCACGGTAAGTGCGAGC